CTGTGTGACCCTGGGCAAACAAGACCCTTAACCTCTCAGACTCTCAGTCACCCAATCTATAAAATGAGGATAACAATATTCCCAAACCTGCCTCTAGCTGTGTGACCCTGAGCAAGTCACTTTCAGTGCTCCGAGTAGTTACGGTCTTCTTGTCGTTGGGTCGTTTTTCAGTCGTGTCTGACATTTTGGGGTTTTCTGTTTTGCAGTGGTTTGCCATTTCCTTCTCCAGCTCATTGTACAGATGAGGAAACTGAGGTAATTAGGGTTAAGTGACTTGCCTGTGGTCTGAGACCAGATTTGAACTGAGGAAGATGAGTCACTCTATCCACTATGGTGCCGCCTAGCTGCCACAAGTTACAGTCTTGCCAATCTGCATTAGAACAGGGAGTTGCACATTGGGAATTCCCTATGCCCAAATGTGCCTGGCCACTGTCCTAGGTGCCAATTAGGAATACATCCCCTCCTCTCAGTGTTATTTACCACCTTTCTCAGTGTAGATCTAGCGTCCCCAGGGACACTACAAATTCCTGAGAGGTCTTATTTTTTCTTCCTTTTCCCACTCTCCCTCCTTTCACAATGTACTGCACAAAGACCCAAAGATTTTAAAGGAAATAAAAATAATATTTGCACTTGGTGATTTACATAGTGCTTTACATAGGTTACATGTCATTTAATCCTCACAACAAACTTATGAGGTAGATGCTATCATTAGTCATATTGTTACACATGAGAAAACTGAGGCTGGGGAATATTAATTGACTTGCCCAGGGTCATAAAGCTAGTAAGTGCCTGAGGCAGGATTCAAACCCAGTGATTGTCTGACACTGTAGTCACTACACCACGTACCTATCTACCTACAAGAAGACAGTAAGAGAAAGAGAGTCAAGGAAAGAGCAGGGGCTAGTGATAGGTTCCACCTATCTTCTTCATTTTGTTAGTCATTCAACTTTCTAAACGGGCAGAGCAGCACTGTGAGCTAGGAGCTCTTTGCTTACGATCTGATTCACTGGAAGTTATCAAGACTATCTGAAGGGGGCAGAGGCAGCAAAAAGGAGCTGGCCGGATTTTTGTTGTGGGTCTCACAAGGAACTCACTTAACAATGGATTTAGTGTAGGGGAAAGGGAGGAGCAAAGCAGATCACTGAAGGCTGGCTTCACATCAGGACGAGCAAAAGGGGTGGAGAGGCAAAGCAGCTTCCTAGAGAGCGGGAGGCTTATTTCTATGGATATCCAAAATACAGACCTGCCTTTCTCCTCCTCCTCTGAAGCAGAGAGCCACCTTGGGTCTGGACATTCCCCAGGGATGCACAGCAAGCATCTATCAGAGGCAGGTTTTGAACCCAGGTCTTCTCTGAGACCGGCTCTCTAGCCACTCCTATCATCTCTCTGGATTCCCCATCCCCCCCCAAGATGAAGTGCTATTCAAGCTGGAAAAGCTTAATGGGTTGAACACACCTCTCTTTGGAGTGGTGAAAAGATCTTTGGGCCATTCAAATCCCATCTCTACCTCTCACTCTCGGGTTTATCTCCCAGCTCCAGCACATACTACCTGCATGACACTGGAAGAGTAACCTAACCTCGCTGGGCCTCAGTTTCCTCATCTGTAAAATGACAAGATTGACCTAGATTAGAGATGTCAAACATGCCACCTGCAATAGCCCCAAACCAGACTAAAATGTAATTGGGAAATATTTAACAAAATAATAAAAATACAATAGAATATAGACAATGCTACATTTTTAAAATTAAGTCAATACACATCCTACAGGGATCCTTATATACAGTTTGGTTTCTATTGGAGTTTGACTTCTAAGCTTCCTTCCATTCTATGCAAACCTTAACACATCTAGAAATAGCTACGGAGTATAAAATAAAATAAGCATTATTGATTATATTGCTACTTATATTGTTGTTGTTTGGTTGTTTTTCAGTTATAGCTGACTCTCCTTGACCCCATCTGGGGTTTTCTTGGCAGAGATACTGGAGTGGTTTGCCATTTCCTTCTCCAGCTTATTTTACAAATGAGGAAACTGAGGCAAACAGGGTTAAGTTACTTGCCCAGGGTCACCCAGCTTGTAAGTGTCCAAGGTCGGATTTGCACTCAGGAAGATGAGTTTTTCCTGACTCCAGGCCCAGCATTGTATCCACTTCGCCACCTAGCTGCTCCTTAATTATATTATAATAACATGTTATTTTATTATTATGTTATTCATAATAAGGATTATTTATGGTTTACTATGTAAATAAACTATTATTATATATATGAAGAAGGAAAGGGATGGACTGGAAGAACTCTAAAGGTTATCTCAGCTCTAAATTTTCAGAACCTATGTGAGGGAAGAGGTCCCCCTGACCATAAAGTCAAAGGCCCTAGGCGCAAATATACTTCTGACATTTACAATCTGTGAAACCTTGGGCAAATCAATCTTGGGTCACAGTTTCCTCATCTGAAAAATGAAAGGGCTGGACTAGATGGTCTGTGAGGTCCTTTCACCCTAGAGCTATGAAATTCCGAGTCACACCCCCTCCCCCAGCCTCAGTTTCCCCATCTGAAAACAAGGGAGTTGGATGAAATGGCCTCTGAGATTCCTTTCAGCTTTTGATCAATAAGCTTCCCAATCCTGGATCCCCAAGTAAATTCGGGATGCCAAGAGAGGACGAGAACTGGACAAGAACATCTCACTCCTCTGTCTGGGACAGCTTGGGTGGGGCCCAGGCTGGAGGCAAGACGGGCCACCTCTCCCCAGCCCTCCGGGGCTGTTCCCAGTCACTGAAGAGTCACTGCAAAGAGACTGGGAGTTTGCTTCCAGGTCAAGGCTAATGTTTTGTGACGGGTTCCCTTTGCTAATCAACCCTCCGGCTGACAGAGTACTACTGCAGCCCCATTCAGTACTCGGGGAAAGGCAGAGAAATACTTCTGGAGACGTATTTGTCCCCCTGCTGTCTAAACAAAGACAGAGAGGGACTCTGTTTGGAGGGAGTCCCCTAGCCTGGGGCTACCCAAAGAGGCTCTGGAGAGGGCCCACTTGGCTGGATCCCCATCCAATCCAAGCGCCCCCCTTCCCCAAAGGGCCAGGATGATCCGATCAGCACCAGGGACACTCCCAGACGGAGAAAGATGCCGACTTCAGGCTCACTCTTTAAAGCAGACCCTGGAAACAAGCAGGCATGGTGGATAGGAAAGCAGTCAGGAACAGACTTCAGACCTCTCACATTGATTAGCCAGATGACCATGGACAACTCCCTTTCTCTCTCTGTGGCACAGGGGATAGTGTAGTGGGCCTGGAATCAGATAAAACTGACCTGAGTTCAAATTAGGTCTCAGACACTTACTAGCTGTGTGATTTTCAGCAAGTCACTTAACCTCTGTGGCTGCCTCACCTTCCTCATCTGTAAAATGGGGATAATAGCACCCGACTTCAAGGTTGCTGAGAAGATCAAATGAGGCAATATTTGCAAATCACTTTTGCAAACTTTAAAGCACTACATAAAAGTTAGATGTTATGATTATAATCTGTCCTCCACACAGGTGCCAAAATGAAACTCCTATAGCACAGCTTTAAACCAAATCATCCCAGCTCACAGACAAACTTTTCGATTAGGTATTCAAAACTGTTCAAAATGTTTTTTATTACACATTACTCCTCTTTCTAGACTCTACAATTCAGCCAAACTAGGCCACGTGTTCTTCCTCACATACTACATTCCATCCAATAGCCATGCCTTTGCACGTGTTGTTTCCGATACCAGGAATGCCCTCCTTTCCTTACCTCTCTTAGACTCCTTAGGGCCTTGTTCAAACCTCAGCTCCCATGCCACATGAGGCCCTTCTCCAGCCCCCTCCATTACCTGTTATTTACATTGTATATTACTTTGGTATTAACTGATATGTACCAGTTGTTCAGCCGCCCTCCAATATCTTTCATTTTCTTTGTATATAATTTGTATCCGTTTCTGCCGCCCTGCAGTTTCCCCAGATAGAATGTAAACTCCATGAAGGCAAGGACTGTTCTCTTTGTCTTTGAACCCCTCCCATAATATCTGGCGCATGTGAATCTAATTAAATGTTTACTGTTTTCTAATCTGCAAAATAAGGATAATAATACCTAAAGTACAGGAGGTCAAACGAGTTTTAACATGGACACGTGCTCGGAATAATAACACCTATCATTTATATAGGACTTTAAGATGGAGCAGTGGATAGAGCACCGGAAGACTCATATTCCCGAGTTCGATTAGCTGTGTGACCCTGGACAAGTCACTTCACCCTGTTTGCCTCAGTTTCCTCATCTGTAAAATGAACTGAACATGAAGGAAATGGCAAACCACTCCAGTATCTCTGCCAAGAAAACTCCAGATGGGGTCATGAAGAGTCAGACACAGCTGAAAAAATGACTCAACAATTAAGGTTTACAAAGCATCTTAGAAATATCACCTCATTTGATCCTCACAACAACCCAGGAGGTACGTGCTATTATTATCCCTATCTTACAGTTGAGGAAACTGAGGCAGACAGAGGTTAATAGGGTCACACAGCTAGCCACTATCTAATGCCAGATTTAAACTCATGTCTTCCTGACTCCTAGAGCAGGAAGGGTCCTCAGAGGCCTTCTGGTCTAACCCCCTCATTTTACAGATAAGGAAACTGAAACCTAGAGATTAAATGGCTCGCCCCAGGTCCGAAAAGTTTCTTAAGATCATACATCTGGAGCCGAAAGGGGCCTCAGAGGCATTCTAGTCCAACCTCCTCATTTTAAAGAAAGGAGAACTGAGGTACAGAGCTTTAGAAAGAATTCATAAGGTCATGGAGATGGAGGGTACCTTAGAAGCCCAGGAAAGTGAGATGACTCCCCCAAGGTCACACTGCTACTGAGCCCTCCGGCTAACTGGAACTCGCTAAGTCAGCTCTACTGTTGACTTGGGATTTGGAGGAAAGAGGGCGCGGATGATGCTTTGCCGGGCTCGCTGCCCTATTTGGAAGGAGGAATAGGGGCCCTTACCTTGTGCATGACGCCTTGCAAGCCCTGGCCCAGCTCCTCTCTCTGCCTGGTGAAGCCCTCATTCCGGAGCCGGATCTGATGGACTTCCTCCAAAACGTTATGGACACACCAGCCGGAGAAGCCGGCCCCAGCGACGAGGGTGAGGTAGAAGAGAAAGTTGAGAACCTTCGCCAGCTTGCCAAAGAAGGAGGAAGAGGAGGAGGCTGCGGAGGCCGCTGAGGATTTCCCACCGCCTCCCCCTCCCCCTCTGCTGCCCTTGGGGTGGGACGGCTGGTTCTGCTGCTGCTTCGGGGGCTGTTTGGGCTGTTGGTTCTGCTGCTGCTGCTGCTGCTGTTTAGGCTGCTGGTTCTGCTGCTGGTTCTGCTGCTGCTGCTGCTGCTGTTTGGGCTGTTGGTTCTGCTGCTGATTCTGCTGCTGCTGCTGTTTGGGCTGTTGGTTCTGCTGCTGCTTGGGCTGTTGGTTCTGCTGCTGATTCTGCTGCTGCTGCTGTTTGGGCTG